GGTATCAAAACCAACAGAATAGTAAGCAATTTTAGTACCGAACACTCACATAGAGTATCGATACCATGGCATGGGTATCGATACTCCAGTAAGGGTATCGATACTGGGGTATTTTCAAAACATCGAATCCAATTTTAGTATCGATACTCAGTCTAGTATTGATACCCCAATACCAGAGTATCGATACTTAATCTAGAGTATCGATACTTCCTTAATCAAACAACCTTATTCAAGCAGGGGGTATCGATACCAAGTGTCTAGTATCGATACTGAAGGGTTAGTATTGGTACCCACGAGAAAATTTTGATAAATAATTCAGGGTTAAGGGATCATACTCAAGGTACCCCAGATACACTGAATAACAACAAATAAAAATTTAAACATAACATTAATTAATATTAAAAATAGTAGAAACAATACCGATAGGTTTACATAAAACTAGCCTTGATTGACGCTTGAGAAACAATCAGGACACTCGAGCTAATTTAGTATAAATACGATAGTTAGTGGATCCAAGTCAATGCGACAACACTTCAATAGGCCGACTGAGCGCCAGATGCCCCAAGACTCGACGAAGTGGTTGACGGGTGTAAGTTTCTGACGATAGAATTTCGGATTCCCACCCGTTAGGCTAAAGGGATGTGAGCTCCGAGATGACATAATCCCTCTGCCGCACCATGATCCCTGCCACAATTAGTAGATTAGGTTTCAGTATCTTATGTCTTTGCATGTTTCAGATCTGTGTCGCTAGTCAACTCTTAAAATGAATGCATATAGTATAATACAGTTATTAGTGTGTCACTGAGCTCGTAACTCAGTGTTTAGAATGTGTTTCCGTATGCAGGTTCATAGGGGCATATCATGGGGAGTTATCGTTTGCAGATATTCCAGTACAACAGACCAACGGTGACTAACAAATTACGTCTTGAGTCTTCTTTACGAGGCATGTACTAATTATGGACCATTTTTGTATATTTAGTCGTAACTTTGATTTGTACTGGTACTGTATTTATTTTGGATATATTTGGGAGCTCCCCATTATTTTGTAAACTCATATTATTATGTTTTGGTTTTAATGTTATGGATGAATTGTTTCAATGAATTTAAAAGCAATTATTAAAGAAAATTTTTGGGTCACTATTTCGGTAGTCTCGTGTGACATTGTAATCCGTGGACCTTTAGGTCAAATTGGATTAGGGTGTTACAACGAGGATGGGTTTTGAGTGAAATTGCACAGTGTTTCGAATGGTGGTGGCGGTTGTGGCTTATGGATGTCGAGATCGACCATAATCAATGAAAAACAAAAACGATGACTTAAAATTTGGAGAACCTTTGAACGCTTATCCACGACAAATGGTGATAGGTTACAACGAAAAATCAAAGAGGGTTTGATCGGGAGTCGACGTCGGTGTTAATGAAGGTGGTGGTAACAATCACGGATGACGACCATGAAATGGAGAAAAGGGAAGGAAAAAAAGGGGTTGAGCATGCGGGATTAGTTTTTTTTAATATATTTTTTTAAAATAAATTTCAAAATCACCAGAGTTTGACACATGTCACTTAACGGCCGTTACGATCCAATCACCTAAAAGTGCTATGATGAAAACGTTACACCTAATTTTAGCGAAAAATTCATTATGCACTAAAATATTTTTCGAGACAAAATTTAGACACTTATTTTTGTATTAAGCGAATAAAAAATAACCCAAAACTAAAACGAAGTAAACTCAACTTGAAATTAAACCAAATCCAAAGTATCATAAATATAAAATTATCCCAAACCGAAGTGATTTAAAATTTTAAAAGTTGAATTAATCTGATATGAATTGATTGAACAACCTAACTTACAGGTTCAAACTGGACATAAATATCATATACTGCTTAACCATTATCAAACCGTGGGTGAACCGTGTACAGCTTAACATATAGCCTAATTCAATGAGTATAATATTTGGACCGAACTTTCATTAGCTAGGCCAGGCTTGTAGCCAGGTTTCCCTTTAACAATTATCCGGTTCTTGGGTTACCCTGGTATTGTGTTATCTACAGGCTAATATCACAAATAAATACTTAAAATATATCACATTTTTTTAAATACTTAATTTTTTTTTATCAAAATAGGTACTTAAAATTTTAAACTGTGAATATATTAAATGAAAAAATAATGTCAGTTAAAAAAACATATAGGCCAATAAAAAAGTGACAAATGACATATTAAATAAATTTACATAAAAAATTAAATGTGAAAAAACACAACCCACCATCGATTAAGTTTACTTCACCATCTTCTCCAGATAAGTTTTCCCCTCTTTTCTTCAATCTAGGGTTTTTGAACTCTTTTGAATTTGTGAAATTAAAAAAAAAATCCAGATAAGTTTACCTCACCATCTTCTCCAGATAAATTTCCCCTCTTCTCCGGATAAGTTTACCTCGCAATTTCATTTCTTTCACATTTAAAGCAAACTATAACAGTATAGTATCATAATAGATATACACAAAACAATTCCAAACAATAACTTACATTCTCTAAATTGTTTTTGCCTTTGTCTGCAGGGTTTTGAAATTGAGAACCTTTCATTATTTTCTTTTTTGAATTTCAACAATCAAAGTCAATTTGACAACTTGGTGGCGTTTGGTTGGCATGAATTCCTTGGAATTAGGGATAATTGGAATCCAATTCCACCACTTTCTCATGTTTGGATCAAATTTTCCAAGGGAATTGGAATCCTTCATGGCTTCAACTTTCCTTCAAATGAGGGAAAGTGAATTCTATCGAAGAATGGATGGAATTCAATTCCCTTGTTGGATGGAATTGAAATTTGATCATACTACCCTCATCAATCTTTTAGTAACTTATTCATATATTGAATAAAAATATTTTTTTATTATTTCAGGTCGGGTCGTGTTTCTAATTCATATATTCGGGTCGGGTCGGGTGAAACTTTATTTGATCGGGTCGGGTCGATTTTTTTAAGTGTGATAATTGGGTCGGGTCGAGTTTGGGTTTAGGGTGAAAAATACCCGACCCGGAAATATATATAATTTTACCTTATATATTTAGGAATAATTACAATAATACCCCTCTATATATAATTTTTTTCAATTAAGTCATTGTTTTTATTGAATAAAAATAATTTTTTATTATTTCGGGTCAGGTCGGGTCGGATTTCTAATTCATATATTTGAGTCGGGTCGGATTCAGGTTTAGGGTGAAAAATACCCGACCCGACCCGATCCAAAAAATATATAATTTTACCTTATATATTTAGGAATAATTACAATAATACCCATATATATATATTTCCAATTAAGTCGCTGTTTTTATTGAATAAAAATAATTTTTTTATTATTTCGGGTCGAGTCGGGTTTCTAATTCATATATTCGGGTCGGGTGAAACTTTATTTTGGTATGGTCGGGTCTCGGATAGAGGTTCCCTTGTTCTCGGGTCAGGTCGGGTGGACCAAAAACCCGACCCATGACCATCCCTAATTGGGATAATTTTAACTTATGATGTTTATGAACATGATTTTTATAATTTATTGAAATGAATAATCAATCAATAAAATTTAAATTTAAATTTTTATAATATATTGCTACATGTAATTTATAAAACAAACTAAAATTAAGCAAAAAATAAGAAGGGCAATCATGTCATTTTACATTACTGAAATCAAATTCATCTGACATGTCTGCGAACCAAATAGAATATGGAATTGGATTCCAATTCAATTTCCTGCCAACCAAACATAATATGGAATTGGATTCCAATTCCTGACAGATTTCAATTCATTCACAAATTTCAATTCCCTCAGAAATATTCCAGCGAACCAAACGCCACCTTAGAGTTTAAAAATAGTATTTGAGATTTAAAGGCTAGGGTTTAAAATTCCTAAATTGAAGAAAGGAGAAAAAAATTCTGAAAAGAAAGTGAGGAGGAGAAAGTGAAGCAAATGGGTGTATGTTAGTTTTTTTTTGGTTTTAATCGTGCGTTGTGTTTTTTTTTTCATTTAAAGTTTTTCTTTTTATTTTTTATGTAAATGCATTTAATATGCCATTTGTCACTTTTTTATTGGCTTATATGTTTTTTTTAAACTGACGATACTTTTCTATTTAAAATATTTGAAATTTTAGGTATTTATTTTGATAAAATTTTTTTTAGGTATATTTAAAATATTCATAATTTAAAATGTTAAGTATCTGTTTTGATCAAAAAAATATTTTAGGTACGTAAAATAAAAATATGATATATTTTAAGTATTTATTTGTAATATAGCCTTTATCTACAAGCCCAATCCATTATCTAAAATAACCTTGGACTTCACTAGGGTTTAAGAGTGAACAAAATTCAACTCGATTTCATATTAAACAGTTTGATTTAAAATGAACCGACTTAAAACTTTATAAACTTTACTCAATTTGGAAATTTTCAAATCTGTGTCGAGTTATAAAATAAGATTCAAATAATTAGGTATCAATATTTTTAATGAAGTATCAATTTTGAACGTTGTGAGTGTGTTTTAATATTTCTTACACATATTCGATTTTTGAACTAAATTTTAACTATAGATTTAAATGCATACCTCCTATAATTGTCAATTTTTTATAAAACGATAATTTCATAAGTGCTCGATCATACTCAATTTAAAATGATCGATGTAAACTTTATTTATTAACAATTTTTTAAAGGACACAATGCATTCAAATCTCCAAAAGATGAATTTGACAATTTATTTGTAACATCTAGAACAATATGACCTGTTTATTATCAAAACCATGATTAAGTGATTTGAGTGTAGTTTATCCTAGATTTTAAACTATTGTTTATGTTAGGACCAAAATATTAGAAATTGAAAAATATGAGACTAAACGGAACTTACATTTAGTATAAAGACTAATATTAGATTTTACCAATTTTATTTAGTACTTCGATCGAGAGGCAACGCATTAAGAACTAGACGGGTAAAAGGCGAAGACATATTATAGGGTTCCTCTAAATTAAAAAAAAACCCATTTCTTCTTTTGCATAAGCATCTGAGAACTAAATTTCTCTAGTCACCCATTCCGTCACCTCAACAATCTTGGCCGGACATGCCCCTTTTCATTTCCGCCGAGGAACTGTCGCTGATCTCCGGCGATGGCGCCGCGGTGGCGGAGAGGGCCGACGCCTTCATAAGGGAACTAAACAGAGAGCTGGAGACGGCGAAGGCCAAGGCCGATGCCGCCGTCATCACTGCCGAGCAAAACTGCTCTCTTCTCGAGCAGAAGTTCATCTCCATCTCCGGTGAGTTGTCGGACCTCCAGTCTCAGAACGCACAACTTCAATCATCTCGGGATGACAAACTCGCCGAGTTAGCGCAGGTTCAGGCCGATAAGCATCAGCTCCACCTCCAAACCGTAAGAATTTTACTGCAAGTTACGAGTTTTGTATTATTTGTACAAGTTATAGATGGATTTTTTTTCTTTTCTAGAAATATATTAAATGAAGTAAATCAATTGTAATTTTTATTAGATTGGAAAAGATGGAGAGATTGAGAGGTTAACAACGGAGGTGTCGGAGCTACATAAGTCGAAGAGGCAGTTGCTGGAGATGATTGAACAGAAAGATTCGGAGGTTGCTGACAAGAACGCTACTATTAAGGCCTATCTCGATAAGATTGTAATTTTCTATTTATATTTGAAGCTTTTGCACCTGAATCAATAAACTTTTGCTAGAAAACTAATGGCTGGCTTTTATGATTTCGATAACAATATCAAAGGTTAACTTGACTGACAATGCTTCACAAAAGGAGTCTCGATTAAGTGAAACTGAGGCTGTGTTGGTTCGAGTACAGGCTACTTGCACACGTCTTTCTCAGGTCCTTTAAAGAAAATTTTCAATTGGCTTTTCCTTTGCAAGCTTATATATTCAAGGGTGTATTTTTTTCTTTCCATTTTTCTTGTGAATCGAGGGGAAAAGAAAAATAAAATTTGGATGTGAACAGGAGAAGGAGCTTATTGAGAGGCACAATACGTGGCTTAACGAGGAGTTAACTGCCAAAGTTGACAATCTTATTGAGATTCGTAGAACACATGCTGAACTTGAAGCTGATATGTCTGCTAAGCTTGCTGATGTAATTGTTTCTAAGAACGTTATTCACAAAAATTTTTCTGCTCTTCATCTTTCTACTTACTTTTTCTGTTAATTCTTTCAGGTTGAAAAACAATACAATGAATGCTCCAGCTCCCTAAATTGGCACAAGGAAAGAACGAGGGAACTGGAAACTAAGCTGACATCTCTACAGGAGGTCTTTTAGACTATGTTTTATTTGTTTTAAATTGTTATTCCTATCATATCTCTAGTATGAGCTGACAACGACCCTATTTTTCTTTAAACTTGTGAAGGAATTGTGCTCATCAAAAGAGGCTGCTACATCCAATGAGGAAAGATTCTCTGCTGAACTATCAACTGTGAGTACCACAAGATTTATATTTTTATACTTGAATCACCTGCAACATATGATTATTGAAAATCTAACGTGATATTTATTCATGATATGGAAAACTTTGTTTTTTCCGAGGATACTTCATTAGTTTATTCTCTATCATGATGTTTAATTATGATATGAACAACTTATCTTTTCCAGTGCGGGTATGATTTTTTTATTTTGGTAAGATAGTTATTGACTAGTGCATAAATGCTTTCTAGTTTAATTCTGTTTAGACTGACTGTTGAGCCAAGGTGCCAGCAGCTATTACTGGATTCTCTTAATTATTGAAAATCTGCTAACATTTAATTGGTCTAGAAGGGAAGTTGAAGCTGTTTAGGGAACACCAGCTGTTAGAAATTCATCTGGATGACTCCTGTAGGAGACGGTGCTTATTTATCTTTCCAGTTAATTATTAGCTTACTCTCTTGTGAAATTTATATGTTATTACAAGGTTTTAAGTTCTATTTTAAATATGTTCAGGCAAATTAAATGACTTCAAGTTGTTAAGCATTCTTTAGGGTTTTATTTCTTTCTTCTCTCTAGTTCTTTGATTATTGTAAAGGATATGATGATTGCTTAGTTTGTATTTAGCTTTGTAAATATTACGAGGATATATCTACAATATTTTCTCTTTTTTTGTCTTTGTTGGCACTAATTTTCTTATTCGAATATACAATGCTCTGTAGGCAAATAAGCTTGTTGACTTGTATAAAGAAAGTTCAGAGGAATGGTCCAAAAAGGCTGGGGAACTTGAGGGAGCCATAAAAGCTTTAGAAGTAAGATTTCCGTAAATTTAGTATATTAATTTTCATATATAGGATTTTGTTGTTCCATTTTTTAGTTTATTGTTATCACAAAACAGATGCACCTTGGCCAAGTTCAAGATGATTACAAGGATAGACTTGAGAAGGAAGCATCTGCAAAGAAACAGGTTGAAAAGGTATGCTACTTTTTTGTCATTTTCTGGCGATCTATATCTGCATGTTTAGCTATAACCATTTTTTTTGACCTGTAAAAGCATTTCAGGAACAATGATACATATTTATGGCTTTTTGCTCCTGAATCAATAATTAGCCATCTACTTTTTCCTTTCGGCTGAGATGTAATACTAGGTTTATTTGGTAATCAATCCTTTTCTCCTATTCGATTCTAAATACCTTTTTCTATCGACACTTATAGGAAATGGTCGATTTGAAAGAGGAACTTGAGAAGTGCAAAGCTGAAATTGAAGCCGGTAGGAAAGAGAATGAGTTGAATCTGCTTCCACTTAGCACCTTTACAACAAAAACGTATGTTATTATTATTTTTGTTGTTATTATTATTCAGTGAAAAGAAGACTTAAACTACAGGAGCATTAGTGTGGTATTGCCTGTGTAGTTGTGTATTTGATTGAATCAGCGAATACTCCTAGATACTACTTCATTGAGTAGGAAAACCGAGGTCATAGATATTGGATTTTTGGTTGAGAGCAAGGCAGGAAGTTATGTCAAGTGATAAATAGTGGGTAAATTATGGTTTCTAAGAGATGGAGATAAATATATTTAGTTATGATCTATTTATTAGGGTTTTAGGAATGAACTAACGAAAACTGCTGTTATTGTTTATTAGCCTAAATGGTAATTTTGTTTGAACCATACAGCCTGTTGTTGGAATTTACTTGAAATTATGGTTTCTGAGTGTAATAATGGAATGAGGTGTAAATTAAACGAGAGTAAATATTAGCTTTTTATCTGGGTTTAGGAAAGAACTAACAGAGATTGCTGTGATGTTTGTTAGACTAAATGGTAATCTGGTTTGAACTTTGAACCATATGACTGTTGCTGGAATTCACTTGAATTTACAGTTGTCTTTTTAATTAAATTACTGATTAAAAATACTCCTAAAATGCAGATGGATTAATTCAAATGAGGCTAATGACATGGTTGAGGATAATCATGCCCTTGTCCCAAAGATCCCAGCTGGGGTTTCTGGAACGGCATTAGCTGCTTCTCTTCTCCGTGATGGCTGGAGTGTGAGTTTTCTTATTTCGCCTGTTCATTTCTTCTTTGTGTGTTTTTGTTTATCTTGTGTTCCTTTGATTCTTTAGCTGGCCAAAATGTACGCAAAATATCAAGAGGCAGTTGACGCTCTTCGACATGAGCAATTGGGAAGAAGGGAATTGAATCAATATTGCAAAGGGTACTGTTACCTTACCTTTTATGATTTTTTTTGAAGATACTCATTTTTTTCTGTATATTTTTTGCATGGTTATGCTTTGGCACACAGTGTGCTATTCCTTAAAAAGGGTTTTTGCCATCTCTACTATTTATAACAAGGGTTTTTAACTCATCAACAATCCAATACTTGCTGTTTTAGCCAGCCACTTGACCCCAAATTCTCCTGCATGCTATTCTCTTCCTTTTTGAATAGATTTTCATTGGCATCTTGCTGCATGATTGGTGTCTGTAAACATGTTCAGAAAAAGTAGCCTCCTTGATTCTTTGATGGCAAGAATGAATAGAAGGCATATAGGCAACTTTTGAGTTCATTGTGTTTTTTTTTATAAGAATGCTAGGCCTCGTTAAAAATCCCCTTCTTGATTAATGGATCTTGTAGGGAAGCTCCTTAATCAGCGTAAGGGGGAAAAGAGTGCCTATATATTATTCATCATAATAAATTACAACGAAAGCAACAATAGTAATCCCCTTACAAAACACAAAAAATCAAGAAACAACCCTAAACAGCCATCAACAACTTTACTAACTCAGCCTATGCCTTCTTTAGCTAAGGCATCAGCCTCTAAATTGGTTGTCCTATTAACCCATCTAACAACACCTTGAAATGCATTAAGCCTATGAACAATATCTTTAATCAAGAAGGCATACGCAACAGGATATAATTCAACCCCTTTGATCCAATCCACAACCACCTTACTATCACTCTCTATAATCAAACGGTCCTTGTCTTCTGTCGAAAATTTGCAAAGAAAGACAACCTCATAAGAATAGCCTTTAACTCCATCAACGTAGGAGGTCCTGGACCAGCAGGTTCTTGAAATAGCCTATAGTAGAACCTGAGGAATCTTTTAAAACTCCTCCTAACCTGCTTTTCTTCCAATCCCTTGTAATGGCAGCATCAACATTTAGTTTAACAAAACCCAAGGAGGAGACCAAAGTAAAGTAGGAGTAATCTGATTAGAGCGGAGAGAAACTAAGTCCGCAAGAGAAGGATCGGAAATGAGTGAGTCCTTAGGAATAGACACTTCTTTATACTTTGCTAAGAACCAAGAAGCAAGCCTAAACCTTGCTAAAAAGAAGTATTATGCCTTATCAAACTTTCCCCCTTCAAACACCACAAAATTCCTCATTTTCCAAGTGGTCCAAAGAACGACCCCCGGAATAAAAGGCCAAATTGGAGAGTTGGACTTCAAACCATCCCAAGCTAGAAATATGCTTTTAGCATCTGCTGGTAAAACAGAACAAATCCTCCAAAAATTTAAAAACTTATTCCAAAGAGACCACACCACCGGACAAGAGAAAAACAAATGAGAGGGAGACTCATCCGACATCTTGCATAGGGGACACAACACATCTTCAATTCCTTGAACACCTCTTTTGACAAGTTCAGTCCTAACAGCCAGCTTCCCATGAACGATCTGCCAAAGAAAACACTACTCTTGGAGGCAGTAGCCCTCTCCAAATAATCTTCTTCCAGAAAAAGACCTCGTCCGATCCCAAAGTCTCCGATGAACATAGATTAACAACTGATCTAACAGTAAAATCCCCATCCCCAGTACCTTTCCAAATCAAACAATCAGAAAATTCCGATGAGTGAAAAATTTGTAATGATAGCCAGCAAGTTAGACCACTGTTCTAGTTCCCAGTCATGAAGATTTCTTCTAAACTTGACATCCCAAGTCCAAACGAAAGAGATATACTCCCCAAATTCAAATAATTTCCCAAACTTATTTATGAAAATAGAAAATAGTCTTGGGAAAATGGCATAAAGTGGATGATCCAAAGCCCAAATATCTTGCCAAAACCGAATAGTTTTACCATCACCAACATGAAAACTACACATGCTTCTAAATTTAGTGCCAAAGAAGTCTTCTTTAAAATAATTATTTAGAAGTGATCTCCAAATCCAGGATACCTTAGGTGGAATCTTATTGTCAAGAATTAAAACTGAAGAATCCAGTCTATATTTGGCACAAACAACTTCCCTCCAAACTGAATCCCTATCATTAGCAAACCTCCAAGTCCATTTCCCCAAAAGCGCTCTATTCATCAAGTTAAGATTAAGAACTCCTAAGCCCCCTTCACTCTTCGGCTTGCTAACATTGGACTAGCTAACCCAGTGAATTTTTCTAATGCCATTTCCCCCTCCCCATAGGAAATTCGACATAATAGAGTTAAGGGTTTTAAGAATCGAAACTGGAATTTTAAATATGGAAAGATAATATGTAGGAAGCGAACAAAGAACCGCCTTAATCAACACTAGTCTCCCTGCTAAAGAAAGAGATGCTGCCTTCCACCCGGTTAGCTTGTTAAAAAAATTATTAATGATAGGTTCCCAAATAGCTGCAGAATTTCTAGTAGCACCAAGGGGAAGCCCTAGATATTCAGAAGGAAATCTGCCAATTGAACATCCAATAGTAGTAGCCCATTCCAGCAGTTCCTCCTCATTAACATTAACACCAAACAATTTACTCTTCTTCAAATTCAGCTGTAGTCCAGAAACCACTTGAAATACTCGAAGCACCCTTTTGACATTCTGAATTTGCATTTTCGAAGCACCAGAAAATATAATCAAATCATCAGCAAACTGTAAATGGGACACATTTACAGACCCCTGTTCCCTGCCAATCACCATTTCAGCAAATAAACCCTGTGACACAACCCTTTGAATCAGTAAATTAAGTAGCTCCCCTACTAAGTTAAACAACAAAGGAGACAGAGAACAACCCTGTCGAAGACCTTTCGTCATTGAGAATTCCTCATAAGGAACTCCATTTACAAGAACCGAAACAGAAGTTGTGGTTACAAACTGCTTAATCCAGCCCCTCCATCTGGAACCAAAGCCCATTTTCTCCATTATTTTAAATAAAATAGACCACTCAACAGAATCGTATGCTTTCTTGAAATCAACCTTGAATACACAGCCCTTGAGTCCATTTTTCTCCAATAATCAACACCTTCATTAGCAATTAAAGAACAATCCAGAATATGTCTACCAAGTATGAAGTCAAACTGAGTTGGACTAATGATGTCTGAAATGCAACCCCTCAACCTCCTCGACAAACACTTAGAAATGATCTTATACAACCCATCAACTAGGCTAATTGGCCTAAAGTCATCTAGACTGCCAATGTTAGAGACCTTTGGAATGAGAGTGATAAGGGTATGATTAATCCCATGTTCCCAATCTTTCCCCAAATAAAAAACATGAAAAAATTTCATAATATCAACCTTGAGGACATGCCAAAACCTTTTGAAGAAGCCCATATTTAAACCATCCGGTCCCGGCGCTTTATCACTATCACAAGAATTTATAGTTTCCCAGACTTCCTCCTCTGTAAATTCCTTCTCTAAACTTAGATTCTGCTCAAATGAAATACTAGGAAAATCCAACCTTATCTCTTCCACATCTAAAGTCGAATGCTCATTGAAAATCTTAAAGAAGTGGTCTCTAATAGTGGTCTTAATGACAGGCGGTTCTTGAATAACATTACCCCCGATATTCAAAGCATTCATCCTCTTCCTAATAGAAGCACAATTATGGAAAAATCTTGTATTTCTATCTCCATCTTCTATCCATTTTGACCTGGAATTTTGGAACCAGATTTGCTCATCTATTTTATAGTCTCCACAATTCTGTTTTTGCTGAAAATAACTCTGCTGCTATATCACTGTTAACACCATCCTGCACCTGATGGATATCCAATTCTAATTTATGGATCCTCGATTCTAAGTCTGAAATACGAGCCCCTGGAAATTGATCCCTCTTGCCCGCCCAATTCTTGATAGCAGTTTTTGTATTTCTCAAAATACTATAAATTCCAACCTTCCTCTGTTGATTCTTCCTTTCTGAACTGAAGATCTGACCAAATCCTCAAACCCAAATTCTTCCATGAGATAATTAAAAAGTTTAAAAGGTTTTTTTTACCCCAATTGACACCTCCATTTTCCAGCAGTAGAGCATTATGGTCCGATAGAGATCTAGGCAGTAAGGTTTGCACCATATCAGGAAATGCAACAAGAAATTGACCATCAACCAAAAACCGGTCCAATCTTAACATAAGTAGGGGTATCTTGATTATTGCACCAAGTAAAGTTCATTGTGTTTTTTGAACGACATTTTATTCTTCCACTATTATTAACTTGGTCAAGCACTTTTCTGTTGCAATGAAAATGAGTTCTCAAAGAGCCACACCTCCAATCTTCTTGTTCTATAGTTTTCAATTCTCTTTGATAAACTTTTAACTCTTTGCAATCTGGTAAACAGTACGTTCCTCATTATTTTTGGGGATAAATCTCTAAACTACACGTGAACTTTCGACAATTGTGCAATTTGATACATGAACTTCAACTTTTGTTAAATTCTATCAATGAAATTTTGATTTGATTTAATTTTCACAGACCTCTATAGCCAATATGAACGTAGCACCATTTTATGCTTACGTAACACTAAACAATTATATTTACATAACATGAAAATAAGTTGACGTATTTATCTTTTTCAAATGTGTACAATTGAACCCAATCAACATAAAATTAATGTTCTTTGACATTTTACGCCGGATCAAAATTCATGTATGAATTTGAGATCTATCCCTTACTTTTTTTTATAAGAATAGGTCTCTTTAAAAACCCTCTTCATAATTGTCCGTCCGCCCTTCAAATCGAAAAACTTACTCTTGTTTCTACAGTCAGGCATGTGAATCATACTATTCTACCATAGTGAAACCACTGAATTTGTCTTGCTACCAGCATGTAAAAAATGCTGGAACCAGAACTTGTGCTGCATAAGTCGTTTCATTCTTCCCCTTGTCACTCCCTCTGCTTGCCTTTCTAGATCTAGTGGCTCCTTGACTATATATCCTAACTGTTAGGTCATTCTTAGTGTTAATCATCTTACAAGTTAATGATTAGTTCCCTACCATTGATCTCTAACCAAGTGATTCAAACCTGAAAGATAGC